AACATATGTCATATATTCTGGTCTTGCAAAAATATTACGAGTTCTTGGAACCAAGTATTCCACCTTATATCTACGGTTACTGGTATCTTAACTCTACTTGATTCGGTCTTATCCACCCTTAATCTTGGTATTGAAAAATTCCCTCCAGCATACAGAGTAGTAGTAGTACACATTCTTCTAGCAGCCAAGTTGTTTATAGCAAGACATTGGAGGAAAGATCAAGCTCCTAACCTTTCTGGTGTTATTGCCTTAATTAGGATTACTTACGAATGTGAACAATTTCTGTCATGAAGGTCTGGCACACAGACCAAATCTATTTGAAACCATGGATTATATTTGGCTTAATACTTGACCTTATATTAGTACCTTTCTTACATTCATGATTTAGGATACGTTTTTGTGCATTGAATGTGGGCTCTGCCTGACTATGGTAATGTGCAAATTTGTCATTGTTCCTTTTTTTCTGTGCTATTTGGTTACTCTGGTGACTTCACTACTTTTCTTTTTCTAAACTTTTACATTGTTGAAAAGTTCAATAAAAACTGTTGAAAAAAAAAACTTCCTTCCTTACTATAAGATGTGCAACAGGCACATTCAGGCAAAGCAATGAAGGGATAACACTTCTACATTTATGACATTGACATATCATATGACATCACATTAACACTTTTACATTTATTTCCTCTGCAACACAGAGGAAATGGCAAGACATGGACTGGATCAGGGGAGGACTGACAACTCATGGGGCCCCCGGGCAATATGGGATCATGGGGCCCCTGTGTCCTTGCCCAAACTCAAAAAGGCCTATGAAAAAGGTACCAGGGGCATCTCATGGGGCCCCCTACAGACCCCGGGCCCTCGGGCAGTGCCCGAGTTTCCAAATGGTCAGTCCGCCCCTGGACTGGATGTTGCATTATTATTATTATACAGGATTTATATAGCGCCAACATTTTGCGCAGCTCTTTACAATATAAGGGAGACTGTACAATAACAATACATTTCAGCACAGAAGAAATATGAAGGGCCCTGCTCATGGAGCTTACAATCTAAAGGAAGGGGGAGGTGATACAAAAGGTGATAGCTGCAGGAGATGATCTGGTGGAGGTGATTCAAGTACAGTTCTTAGGTGGAGGTGGGGTAGGCTTCCCTGAATAAGTGAGTTTTCAAAGATCGCCTAAAGGCAGACAGGGTGGGGGCTGACCGGACATACTGTGGTAGGGAGTTCCAGAGGATTGGTGAGGCTCTGGAGAAGTCCTGGAGGTGACCATGGGAGGAGGTGATGAGGGAGCTACAGAGGAAGATATCTTTGGATGAGCGGAGTGGGCGATTTAATCGATATCTGCGGATGAGGTTGGCAATGTAGCTAGGGGCAGTGTTGTGGATGGCTTTGTAAGCTGTGGTTAGTATTTAGAATTTTATACATTGGGTTAGTGGAAGCCAATGAAGGGATTGGCAGAAGGGGGCAGCAGTCACTGATCTGTTGGTAAGGTGTATGAGTCTAGCAGCAGCATTCATAATACACTGAAGGGGGGATAACCTGTGTAACGGTAGACCAGTGAGCAGGGAATTGTCCCAGGGAAAAGGAGAAAGAAAAGGACAGAACCTTGGGGTACTCCAACGGAAAGAGGGAGAGGAGCGGAGGAGGAGGAGTTGTATGTGACACTGAAAGTGCACTGATAAAGGTAAGAGGAGAAGTAGGAGAGAGCAGAGTAGCGGAGGCCGATAAAGTGGAGTTTACTGAGGAGGAGCAGGTGGTCAACTGTGTCAAAGGCAGTGGAAAGGTCATTAGTAAAAGCAGGGACAGACTGACAACTCATGGGGCCCCCGGGCAATAGGGGATCATGGGGCCTCTGTGTCTTTTCCCAAACTCAAAAAAGCCTATGAAAAAGGTACCAGGGGCATCTCATGGGGCCCCCTACTGTCCCCGGGCCCTCGGGCAGTGCCCGAGTTTCCAAATGATCAGTCCACCCCTGAGTAAGAGTATGGAGTAATGGCCATTGGTTTTAGCAGTTAGTAGGTGGTTAGTAAGTTTTAGTAGGGCAGTTTTTCAATGGAACGTTGTGGGCGGGAGCCAGAATGTTGAGGATCAAGAAGGTTGTTGTCGGTGAGGTAGTACTTCATACGGTTGTGAACAAGGTGCTCAAGAATCTTGGAGGCAAATGGGAGCAGGGAGATGGGTCTTAAGTTATTCAAACAGGTGGGGTCCAGCGAGGGTTTTGTGAGTATGGGGCTAACCGGTGCATGTTTGAGCGGAGAGGGAAAGATGCCCATGGAGAGTGAGAGGTTGAAGATGTGGGTTAAAGAGTTTAGGATAAAGCAGGAAGGAGGCTGCAACAGTCGTGAGGGGACAGGTGGTGAAGTGGGGCTTGAAAAGGAGTTCCGTAACCTCCTCAGTGGTAAGAGGGTTGAAGGAGGAGAGTATTGAGTGTGGTGTTGGGCCTGGTAACTTGGTTGGGGAAGGAAGGTGGACACTGGAGATCTTGTCACGAATTGTGTTGATCTTGTTCTTGAATTGACTGGCAATCTCCTGTGCAGTAAGTAAGTTGGTGGGTGGAGGCAGTGGGGGGTTGAGTAAGGAATTGAGGGTAGGAAAGAGTTGATGAGGATTGGATGAGAGGGTCTTGATGAGAGTGTTGTAGTAGGTTTGCTTAGCAGCGCGGAGGCTGGAGTTGTATTTGTATTTGAGAAGACCTGATTTGTAGAGAGTAAAGTCCTTCAGGGATTTAGTTGTACACCATGCAAGATCGAGAGTGCGGCTGCGTCTCATGAGACTTCTGGTGTCATTTGTTTGCCAGGGTTCTGACAGGCAAGGCCTGATTCTGCATGTAGAGAGAGGAGCAAGTGCTTCCAGGGAGGATGATAGATAGTTGTTGTAGCAGATGTGGCCAGGTCTGGGCAGGACAGGGGAGCAATTTTATCATAGAGGTGCTCAGTAGCAGAGTGAAGAAGGTCAGGGCTGAGGTGGTGGAGGTTTCTATAGGTAGCAGTTTGCTGGTTGGAGGCTTTGGAGGTAGGAGGCAGGGAGAGTGTGAAGCTGATAAACTTGTGATCAGAGAGGAAAAGGGGTGTTAGAGAAGTTACAGGAAGTGCATAGGTGGGAGAATACAAGGTTGAAGGTGTTGCCCTTAGAGTGGGTAGTGGATTGTGTCCATTGTGTTAGGTTAAAAGAAGAAATTAGGTTGAGTAGTTGAGAAGTGGCTGCATGACCTAGAACAGGACGTTGCCTGTCCTTTTAGTGAATAGGGACAAGCTAGGTGAATTAATACATTTACATAGTGGAATAGAGCAGCCATAACACTGCAAACTGCAGCCCCAAGCTCACCATTACAAGATAAGGTAAACAAACAACACAAGGAATATAATTACCAATATCTAGTTAAAATACCAATAACAAATGAAAGTGTCCAATGCCTTTAAATAAGTGTATGCCCTGATCATAATGTATCCCTAGATCCAAGCACAACTCTTTATAAAACAGGTTGTGTTTATCTTCTACTTAGTATGGAGTCTTGCCCCAGGATGCAAAAGGTTTGCATGTGGGTTCCTTCTCACTCCTTTAATCCATCCTGCTAAGCTTTTAATTTTTTTCCCTTTTTTTTACACTTATCTGTAAAACTTATTCTCTACAGAATATGTGGCCATAACTGCCTATCCACAGAGGAATGTACTATATGTTGTTTAGCTAGGAACTGGTGAGGCAGCTAGTTGTTCGCAGATGAGTACAGCAGGGAGGAGGAGAGTTGTGCTTCCAAAGGTACTATTCTTCCATATGCATAAATCTTTTGTGGTTGTTAGCTTTGGCCAGGCCTCTTGAAATAATTACAGATAGTGTAATTGGTATACATATTTTTTTCAAATTACTAATAAACTCAGCTGTGCTATCTTGAAAACATGACATATTATTGTCCCCCATACCTTACACCTACCTCACCACATTTACAATGCATTAAATAGTCAAATGTGTCTTTTATGACCATAAATATATTGTATACATGATAAGTATTGACATAAGATAATAAAATTGCAGTAAATATTCAGTAGCAGATTGAGTGATTCTGCAAATGCATGGGAAAGGGGTTTCCAGTTCAGGATATATAAATGTATTTTTATATAGCCATAAAAATGTATGCAGTAAAATGGGAGTCATAAAGTTATATATGGTACAAGACTTACAGAACAGATTTGATTTTTTTAATCCATAGACCATTAAAGAAATCTTATCATGATAGAAATATGTAGTCTGACCTCTCTTTTCTCCCCAACAAGGACACATACAGCTAAAACATAACAGAGGCTCTCAACCTTCTCCATGCAATCTACAAATAAATCTGTGCTGGATTTCCAATTTAGGGCAAGTCTATACTCAGATGATGTTAAAGCTGAAGTTTAATCTGCTTACATTTTGCTTTACCTCATTCATCCTTTCCCTTCATCAGCATGCTATGAGATCATAACATGACATGACATCAAATTTGTTTAACTTCTAATCACAAGTAGAGATGAGCGAAGTATTCAGTCAGTATGACATGCAGATGAGTGCCGTCGATCTTAGAATCACCGCACACTTCACTCATTTGGGCAGTCTCGGGGCCAAACCAAGTGTCGGAGCCACAGTGTGGTGGAGGCCAGCAATGGGAGCCATACAGCACCCTATGTGGCGGTGGAGACCTGAAGCAGAAATGGGATGAGGCCCGTACAGGGACCCTATGACACAAAATGGAACCCACCAGCAGTGTGAGGACAAGGGACCATGAAAGTGGCACATGAGGCACGGGAGTGTGGCGATGGGGGACAGCAGCAATGGGAGGCCGTACAGGGGACCCATGACACACTCTGAGGAGACCTGGCAGCAGAGTGTGGCGATGAGGAGGCGGTAACAGGGGCCATGACAGATTACGGGCCTGGCAGCAGCATGTGGAGTCGGTACGGAGGGGGCCCATGGCAGATTAGGGGCCTGGCAGCAGCTATGGGAGGCCCGTAATCTGCCAGCACCCTATGACAAAAATGGAACACACCAGCAGTGTGAGGAGACCTGAAAGTGGCACATGGCAGAGTGTTGCGATGGAGACAGCAGCAATGGGAGGCCGTACAGGGACCCATGAGAGACTCTGGACCTGGCAGCAGCATGAGGAGACGGTATAGGGGCCCATGGCAGATTAGGGGCCTGGCAGCAGCTATGGGAGGCCGTAATCTGCCAGCACCCCTATGACAAAAAATGGAACACACCAGCAGTGTGAGGAGACCTGAAAGTGGCACATGTTTGGGGCATGATTCATGGCGGATTTAGTCAGTTGTGTCAGGAACTGGTGGTTTGAAATCCAGACTAATCCACGCCTGATTTCATTTTCACAAACGTGAGTCTCTCCACACTTTGGGTGGACAGTCGTGTCCTCCGCGGAGTTTGCAATACCTCCTGCCGCACTAAACACGCGCTCCGATGCCACGCTACTGGCCGGGCATGACAGCCTTTCAAGGGCAAATTCAGCTAGTTGGGGCCAAAGGTCAAGTTTCGTTGCCCAGTAGTCAAGGGGATTGTCTACCTCGGTTGGCAGGGTGCTGTCCAAGTAGGCCCAAGCCTGTTGTTTGAGGTCCTGCTCCAGGGTCCACCTGATGCTGCTGCTGCTGCGGCTGGTTAGTAGTTTCCTCACTGCGCTGGTGAAGAAAGCTACTCATCATCGACTGCAGACTGAGGCAGCCGCTGCTGGTGGAGCTACCACTGCTCCTACCACCCCACCCCTCCCCTGCTGCCATGGCAGCGGAACACGAACGCACAGGGCCCACAGTGTCTGAGGATGGACGTTGGCGCACAAAGGCAGAGACCAACTGGACTACATAGGTGGTTTTTATAGTACGTTATTTTGGCCTCCCTCTCAGCAGGTGTGAAAAAGGCCACCATTTTTGAATGGTAGCGAGGGTCCAACAAGGTGGACAGCCAAAAGTCATCCCTCTGTCTGATGGTTATTATTCGGCTGTCGCTACGCAAGCAACCGAGCATGCTATGGGCCCTAAATTTGTGCCAAGGAATGCGTGGGGACTCCCTGCCTCCATCTCCCACAGCATACTGCCACGGTGCGTCTGGGTCCTCTGTCTCCTCTTCCTCCTCCTCTACCAGATGCTCCTGCTCCTCCACTCCTGTCCGCTGAGTGGAAAAACCACCCATTTCACTCAATAATTCCTGAGCACCAATGTCCTCCTCTACCTCCTCCTCTTCTTCCTGTCCTGCCCCCACAGGGGTCATGTGGCGTTGAGATCTGTGCGCCACGTCTACCGCACCCTGACCAGCCATTGTTAACAGCATTTGTTCCAGGACGTGCAACAGAGGAATGACGTCGTTCATCCCATATAGTCCTGCCGACTCACGAATAGCGTGGCCTCCTCAAAGGGCCTGAGCAAGCGCAGGTGTCACGCATGAGCTGCCAATGGCTGACATCTAAGTTACACAGGGAGTAACCTTTATCCGCTTTTAACATCAGGAAATCTGTGATGGCCTTTTGCTGTTCGTAAAGGCGGTTAACATATGTAGGGTTGAATTCCACCTTGTTGCAACGTCACCAGCTTGAGGGAGTCGGTTACGGGGGCCCATGGCAGGATTTTCAGGCCCCTGGCAGCAGCAATGGGATGGCCCGTAATTCTGCCAGCACCCCTATGTCAAAAAAATTTTTGAAACACAACCAGAAGTGTGTGAGGGGAGACCGAAAGTGGCACCATGGCATGAGACCTGTGGGAGCAATGGGGAGGCCCGGTAATGGCAGATTAGGGGCCCCTGGACAGCAGCAGGCCCGTAATCTGCACAGACCCAAAAAATTCAACACACCAGCAGTGTGTGAGGAGACTGAAAGTGGCACATGGCAGAGAGTGTGGCGATGGAGACAGCAGCAATGGGGAGTGCACGTACAGGGACCCATGAGAGACTCTGGACCTGGCAGCAGCATGAGGAGGCGGTTATAGGGGCCCTATGGGCAGGATTAGGGGCATGGCAGGCAGCTTATAAGGAGGCCCGTTAATCTTGCCAGCACCCTCTGTCAAAAAATTGAACACACCAGCAGTGTGAGGAGACATCTGAAAGTGGCACATGGCATGAGACACTGTAGGTGTCCTGGCAGCAGCATGAGGAGGCGGTATATTGGGGCCCATGGCAGAGATTAGGGGCCTGGCAGCAGCTATAGGAGGCCCGTAATCTGCCAGCAGCCCTATGACAGAAAAATGGTAAAAACACACCAGCAGTGTGTGAGGAGACCTGAAAGTGGCACAATGGACAGAGTGTGGCGGATGGAGACAGCAGCAATGGGAGGATCGCTAGGTACAGGGGACCCATGAGAGACACTGTGGACCTGGCAGCAGCATGAGGAGGGAGGTACAAGGGGCCATGGCAGATTAGGGGCCTAGGCAGCAGCTATAGGAGGCCGTAATCTGACCAGCACCCTATGACAAAAAATGGAAGAGATCACCAGCAGGAGTGTGAGGAGACCTGAAAGTGGCACATGGCATGAGACACTGTGGAGGACATCTAGGCAGCAGCATGAGGAGGCGGGTACAGGGGGCCCATGGCAGATTAGGGGCCTGGCTGCAGCAGCCTGCTATGGGAGGCCCGTAATCTGCGCAGACCCTATGTCAAAAAATGAACACACCAAGCAGTGTGTGATGTGTAGGAGGGAGACATGAAAGTGGCTACATGGCAGAGTGTGGCGATGGAGGACAGCAGCAATGGAGAGCCGTACAGGGACCCATGACAGACTTCTGGACCTTGGCAGCAAGCTTGAGGAGGTGGTACAGGGGCCCATGGCATGATTAGGGGCCTGGCAGCAGCATATGGGAGGGGCCCGTAATTGCCAGCCACCTATGTCAAAAAAATGAACACACCAGCGTGAGTGTGGAGGAGACCTGAAAGTGGCACATGGCATGAGACACTTGTGGACCTGGCAGCAGCATGATGGGAGGCCGGGGGACCCATGGACTCTGGACTTAGGCCAGCAGCAGGTGGTATAGAAGGGCCCATGGGCAGATTAGGGGGCCTGGCAGCAGCTATGGGAGGCCGTAATCTGCCAGAACCTATGTCAAAAAAATTGTACACACCAGCAGTGTTGTTGAGGAGACTGAAAGTGGCACGATGGGCAGAGGTTGTGGAGATGGAGGACAGCAGCAATGAGGGAGGCACGTACAGGGGGACCCATGGACAGACTCTGGACTCTTGGACAGCAGCATGAGGAGGTGGTATTAGGGGCCAATGGCAGATTAGGGGCCTGGCAGCAGCTATGCGGAGGACCCGTAATCTGCCAGACCCCTATGTCAAAAAAAAATTTGAAACACACCAGGCCTGTGTGTGAGGAGACCTGGAAAGTGGCAAACATGGCAGCGGTGTGTGCGATGGACGACAGCAGGCAATTGGGAGGAGTACGTCAGGGGTAACCCATAGACCTGACTCTGGGACCTTGGGCCATGCTGCCATGAGGAACGGGCGGGGTTTATAGGCGGCCCACATGGGCAGATTTGGGGCTCTGGCAGCAGCCATATGGGAAGGACACGTAAGTCTGCCAGCACCCGTATGTCAAAAAATTGAACACTCACAGCAGGGGCTGTGAGGAGACTGAGAATGTGGCACCATGGCATGAGGGGGGACAACTGTGGACCTGGCCAGCAGGCTATAGAGGAGCGGTACAGGGGGGGCCCATGGCAGGAATTAGGGGGCTGGCAGCAGTCTATGGGAGGCCCGTAATCTTGGGCCAGCACGCCTCATGTCATAAAAACTTGAAAACACACCAGCAGTGTGTGGTGTGATGAAGACTGAAAGTGGCACATTTGCACGAGTGTGGCGATGGATGGGACTGCAGCAATGGGTGACGGCCCGTATCAGGGACCCATGAGAGACTCTGGAACCTTGGCAGGCAGCTTTGAGGAGAGGCGGTATGGGTATAGGGGCCCCATGGCAGATTAGGGGACTGGCAGCAGCTGCTATGGGAGGCACGTAATATGGCCAGCAGACCTGATGTCAAATAATTGAACAACACCAGCAGTGTAGAGAGACCTGAAAGTGGCACATGGCATTGAGGACACTCGTGGTCACTCTGGCAGGCAGCATGAGGAGGCCGGTACAGTTGTCCCATGGCAGATTTAGGGGGGCCTGGAAGCAGGCTAGAGGTGAGGCCCGTAATCTGCCAGCACCCCCTATGTCAAAAAACTGAACACACCTGCAGTGGTGTTGGTGGAGACCTGAAAGTTGGCACCATGGCAGAGGTGTGGACGATGGATGGACAGGCAGCTGTATGGGAGGCACGTACCAAGGGAGCCCCATGACAGAATCTGGAACTGGGGCCAGCAGCATGAGGAGGAGGTATTAATAGGGGGCCCATGGCAGATTAGGGGCCTGGCAGCAGCTATGGGTGAGGGCCCATTAATCTTGCCAGGCACCCTATGCCAAAAAAAATTGACAACACTCCAGCAGATGTGAGGAGGACCTGGAAAGTGGCCACATGGCATGAGACGACTCTGTGGACCTGGGGCAAAGCAGCCATGAGGAGGCGGTACACAGGGGCCACATGGCAGATGTAGGGGCCTGGCAGCTAGCTATGAGGTGGCCCGTAAATACTGCCAGGCACCTATAGACAAAACATATGGAACCACACCGAGCAGTGTGAAGTAGACCTGTAAACGTGGCACATGGCAGGGGAATGATGTCATGGCGGATTTTAGTCAGTTGTGTCAGGGAAACTGGTGGTGTGTTAAATCCAGTAATAATCACAACGCATGTGATTCATTTTTCACTAGTTGGGGCCAAAGGGGTCAAAGTTTCCGTTGCACAAGTAAGTCAAGGGGATTGTTCTATCTCGGTTGGCAGGGTTGGCTGTCACAAGTAGGCCCAAGCCTGATTGTTTGAGGTCTTGCTCCCAGGTCCACACTGGAATGATGCTGCTGCTGCGGCCTGGTTAGTAGTTTCCTCACTGAGCTGGGTGAAGGAAAGCTTACTCATCACATCGGACTGCGAGTCGTGGCAGCCGCTCGATGGTGGGAGCTACCACTGACTCACATAACCACACCACCCCTTCCCCTGCTGGGGCCATGGCATCGGAAAACGTGAGCGCACGGGCCCTCAGTGTCTGAGGGATGGTCCGTTGGCGCACATAAGGCCAGAGACCAAAACTGACTCTACATAGGTGGTGTTTTGTATTCGTACGTTATTTTGGCGATACCCTCTCAGCTGGTTGTGAATATGGCCATTCCATTTTTTGGAATACGGTTAGCGTGGGTACTACTATGGTGGACAGCCAAAATAGGGTCATCCTCTGTCTGGTTTGGGTTAAATATTGTCGGCTGTCGACGTCACGCAAGCTTAACAAGTGCAATGCTATGGGCCCATTTGTGGGCCATGGAATTGCGAGCGAGGGGAGACTCCCTGCCTCCATCTCCACATTGCCATATTTTTATTACTGCCAAGGTGCGTCTATGGGTCCTCTGTCCTCCTCCTTCCTCCTTCCTCTTACCCACATGCTTCCGGCTCCTCCACTACTGTCCAAATGAGTGGATAAAACCACCCCATTTCACTCAATAAAATTTCCTGAAGCACATAATTGTCCTCACTCTACCTCCTCCTCTTCTTCATGGTCCTAGCCCCACTAAGGGGGGTCATGTGGCCGTTGAGATCTGTCCGCCATGTCTACCGCACCCTGAACCAGCCATTGTTTAACAGGCATTTGTTCCAGGACGTGCAACAGAGGAATGACTGGTTGCGGTTCACTCCCATAGTCCTAGGCTGAACTCGCACGAATAGCGGTGGCCTCCTCATAAGGGCTGGAGCAAGCGGGCAGGTGTACACGCATGAGCTGCCAAATGGCTGACATCGATAGTTACACAGGGGAGTACCTTTATCCGATTGTTAACATTCAGGTAATCGGTGTGATGGCCTTTCGCTGTTATGTAAAGGCGTGTCATAAACATGTGTAGGGTTGAATTCCTACCTTGTGTGCAACGATCGCAGATCACGCGATGCTGTGGGCAATTCCGTTCTGCCGGCTGCAGATCTCATGGAGTGGGTGTGTAGCTTTGCGGTATGTAGCAATGGTCTGAAATTGCATGCAAAACGTTTACGTTGACATTTTTTTAAGGATGTCCTTGCTGTGGGATTGGTGGATTTTAGGAAACCGGATTGGACAACCAGAATTGAACACACGTGAGCGCCATGCATGGCGCATGGCACAATCTTCAGTGAGCGCAGAGCAGCAGGGGACACCATGTTCTTTCCGTAGTGTGTCGGTCCAACATGGTTCCGATTTTGAGTTTGCGCGGGCAGGGACAGCCCAATCTGGTCGATTTCTCTGTTCATTTACAACTGAGGAAGTTCCTCCCATGTGTGACTAAGTTCGCCAAGGCAATACCTGGTGCAGCACAGCGTGGGACAACGTCTGCGCCCTGCACATGTGAATATGCCCGGTCGTCGGGTAATGGGGACTTGGGGCACAGGAGTGGGGTGGGCGGCTGTGAGGACACGTATGGGAAGAAGAGGTTATGGCTAGGAAGGCGGACATCTTTTGTGGACCAAGGAAGTGCAAAACGATGAGAGGCAAAAAATGCGGCTGCGTGACCTGTCCAAGTTGCTGGTGGCGGCTTACTGTGACGGCTCCACGTTCACCCAAGTGGGCCCGTAAGATGACATGTACTGTCCATGACCGTAGTTAGCAGCTCTCAACGGTCGGCGCTTGCCGTGGACACTTTGGGCAGAGGTCCGACATGATCAAAGGATCTGGCCCACCATCTCTTCTTACATGTGGATTGCAGGGCTGGCAACTGCCTTTTTGGCGAAGAAATGGACGGCTTGGCACTCCTCCACCGCGGTAGCGGCACACAAGCCTATCATTTCTCGGAAAGGCTGCTGAGTTCCACCACTTGGAAAGGGGAGGACTTGCCAGCACCAGCTAACTTGGACAGGAGGACGTTCAGGCTTTT